TGGTAGTTCTAACATCTCACTGGATTGTCTGGAAACTACGGCGGCTCTAATCTCTCAGTCCTCAAGTGTAGATTCTCCAAAAGTTTCTGTCATGGGTAGAACCGCCCCCTCTTTCACAACACAATTGTTTAGCACCTATAAAAAGAGTAGATTGGAAGGTTTAAGTGAGCATCATTAGAGGCTAGAGCTAGATTATGAACCATGGTGTGCTTATTCATTTTGACTAAATGTGTCGGAGTTTTGTTGTGTTACTCAAAGATCCGTTCCTATAAGTCATTCAACTTGTTAGTAATTTGAGTGTGATTTGTCCTTTGTTCATTATAACTAATTTTCTATTAAAAATTAATTCTATGGTAATTATTTTCTAACATTTGAATACTAATCTTCATATATCTGCACTATAGTCTAGTTTCTTGTAATAGATTTTATGGTAATTATGTGTATTTATAGTCTTTTTGTGAATGATGTTAAATTTGGTTGATGCATTGTTGAGTTTAATTCATTCATTTCTTATATGTTCTTATGTTTTTCTCTTCTATTATAAGTTGCAATTCTTTTCCTGGGGTTCTGTTAGTCCTCCATTATAGCTTTTTAGCGTAGGAACTATTGTTCTCTTCTTAGCTTCATTTGATCTATTTTACCGCCTTACGTATTGTTTCTGCGTTCTGTGATAACAAGAAATAAAGGTTTACTTAATAAAAGTATTCAATATTTGAGGACTAGCTATGAATAAATATGTCTAGCGACGTTCATATAAAACACTTGGAAAACACTTAATTATACTTCATTCACTTTTATACATTTATTTCCTTTATAAGAAATTACAATCCAAGCTTGAAATCTTTTTGCATATATATATATATATATATATATATAACATGCATTGAATCTGAGCATTTTTTTTTCAGAATGGCATTGCTAAAAGTAACAAGAGTATCACATTAATAGCATACTGTATAAAGCCTTCTATTATACTGGATAAAATTTATCTCACATGGTAGTATAATGTATAAAACATATTTCTACAATAATATTTTAATGAAATACTAGAATTATTATTTCTAATAATCAAATCCATATTTAGTGTATCCACTAGCATCAAAGACATCTTCCGTACTCTAAGTGGAGATGTTTTAATTATTTGAAATTTTCTTTCTTTGGAGTTTTCGTATTTCAGTTTCTTGTAAGAACTGAGATGACTTATAACCCGTATCTTTAAAAAAAGAAGCTTGCAGAGAAAAAAATGGCACAGGGCGACTAGTACATTTACAGGGGATATCTTCAAATCTAAGAACTCCACATCGATTTGTGAACTTCCCGTCAAATCTAAGAACTTCAAATCAGTTAATGTATGATGGCACACATTACCCATAATTGTGATTAATTCTCTCGAAAAATTCATTTTATCATCGGATGGTCGATTTCCACGATAAAAGTTCCTTCTGTAGAGTTTTAAATTTTCACAATTCTCTTGAATTTAATTTTTTCGACAAGACTGTCGGGCTATCTGCACATGTGCATATACAAATATTCTATTGTAGTGATAAAATTTATCTCACGTGGTATTATGATGTATGGAACCTATTTCAGTACAATATTTTAATGAAATACTCAAATTATTATTTCTGATAACCAAATCCATATTTAGTGTATCTACTAACATTGAAGACATCTTCTGTATTCTAAGTGGAGATGTTTTAATTATTTGAAAGTTTCTTGCTTTAGAGTTTTTGTATTTCCGTTTCTGGTAAGAACTGAGCTGACTTGTAATCCCTAACATGCGAAGCATTTAAGAAAGAAATAATATGAAATATTATTTCGATAATAAGATATAAGAAATTATGTAGTCAATATTCATTTAGTAATCAATAATAAATGAGATACAAATTGAAACAGCCAAATTTAAAAACCCACACACACAACTCATCACGTGCATGTCACGCACCAAAGGCTATTGACCTTTAACCAAAGAAATCCCTGTTAGCTGGTTTCGGGTGTGGTCGGCGCGGGAGTGCATCCCTGAATTCCACGTATCCGGTAGATGCGACGAAGATCTTTCTAGAAAGTCTGCTGCACAAGCTTGCCGCTCCGCAGTATTTGGATACTCCGCAACGCCCGCAACTGCCCTGCTCTACGACCTTAGAGATGACATCACCATCTTTGTCCTCCACGCTGACCGCAAAGAGTAGGTCTAGTTGTTCCAGGTCCACAAGCCTCCCATTCCTCTGCTCTTAGCAGGAGAATGACCGTTGTCTAACCTGGGCGTGATATCTACAATGTCAAGCTGCGGCCGGTGAAGAACCCCCCTATCGCCGGGATTCTAGCCTCGCGTGTATAATGTCAAGTTGAGCCGACACCAGACGGGTCCTTTGGTAACGGTCCTTTTCCCTCTTCTCCCCCAGAGAACCAGGTGGGGAGGCGTCTTCCGTTCGGTTCTGCAAGGGGCCGATGCAGTCTCCACGAAACAAGTCATCTCGCATGTGCCTCCCTACTATGATTGAAGAGAACATCGGCACGTACGTCACCCTAAATTCGTCCGGCCGTGCGTGGCATCTACACAAGGCCGTCCCGGCAGCGAGGCCACCCGCCTTCAAGAATATATTCCTGAACGACGGCGACCGCCACATATGGGAGAAGAAGGAGCCCCACGTCATTGACCTCGAGATGGGGGAGCATGTCCTATGAGGCTTGTGGCGCCCTCCTCGACTACCTCAATGGTGTCACCCGCAGGAGGAAGGTATTCACGAAGCACCACGTGGCACTTTGATGAGGCCCTTGCCTCGTCAACCACGCCACGTAGGCGACGGAGCTGACCGTCGCCCACCTCAACCATCGTCTGCCCAAGAGCTCACGCACCGAGAAGGTGAGACACCGATAGCTGAGCATCGCTCCTCCTCGGATGTCTCTACTACGTCGAGTCTCCGCTCCGTCACGACCCGCCAGGCTACGTAGCCCGAAGGTTAGCCCCGTACCCCTTCTTACTTAAGTTTAATTATCTTTTGAAGGGTTTTCTCAGCTCGTTTCCACCGCCATCAGGAGAACGTAGACAAGATGGGACGGGTTATCAGATTGTGACTTCCGACACTACGCCAGATTCGTCACCGTTCGTGAGCTACAGCCCTAGGCTACTTCACAACGACCGTTCCATTGTCTGTCCAGATGTGGACTAAAAGGGCCTCACACTTACCAGCATCAAGTGTTTCTCTAGGTTGTCTTGGGTTGATTGTGCATATTGGTATGCCTATTTGTACTTAGGTTACGTGGTCAGACTTAGAGTCTAGGGTCCACACATTCTTATCAGATTGGTCTGACTGTCCCATCCCGAGTCTTGAGTTTCATTGATCAGGTACAAGAATTCTTGCCCCTGTCCTGCATCAAATTGGTATCAAAGCCAGGTTAGGTTACCACCTAACCTCGGTTCCCTGAGGACGCTCACCGAGCCTCCATACCACTAGTAGACCATTCATATAAGATTGCATTGTCATCTAGGCACCCATAGGACCCAGCCATGGTAGAGACATGCTCAGCCAGAGCTTGAGGAGGTTCACCATCATCACGGCACTCGCGTGAGGCCTCAAATCCCGCCACTCTCCAAGTAGCTAGAGTGGACACGAGTCCACCATCTCCGTCGAGACCGACGGATTTGGTACCAGACCCCTCTCGACCCTAGGAGACTTTGAGCCCTATGTCAGCCGAAGAGGCATCAGGGTGGCCCCAGCCGCCCGCAGCTACGAGCCACCGAGTTGGGAAGGAATCCGCACCCTACTATCCACCGAAGAGTACTAGGGGTCGTGGCAGAGGTGGCCGCTGGCAACCTTCGCCCCGGTACCCTTCGAGGGATGGAGCGTGCTCCCTCCCAGATGATGTCATGTATAGCATGACCCAGGCTATTGAGCGTCTGGAGCGAGCTACCTTTGTAGCCACAGCTCATGGCCCACCACCACCGGCTCCACCGCTGGTCGCGTATCCGGTCGCACCACTGACCGCACCGCCTATTACACAAGCATATCAGGAGCATCGCGAGCCCCGCCGGCCTGTGAGCCCCTATAGTGATCCATATGATCACTAGTACCTCGATCACGATCATCGTCGAGGGAATCTTGTCGCCGCGACGCACCTCGTCACGACGATGGCCATGATCGATTGGGCGGTCATTGGCCACAAGATATTTATGATTGCCACGAGCCGGTCTACTCGGCTCGTAGGGATGATCTCCCACATCCGCCACCACCACCACCCCGACCCCACTACGAGGACTATCGACCCCACGGACGCGACCAAGGACACGACAGGAGAGACCTTCCAGGTTACAGAGCTGACCCTTCCCGACAAGAGGAGCTCGATCGGCGAGCAAAGCGTCAGCCACGAGATCGTGATGATTCCTACCATGACTACTAGCGTGCTCTGGACTTTCACTGAGCACCCCAGGACGCCCACTAAGATCGATACTACCATCACGGGCATTACCCGAGTCCTCCCCACTATGACTTTGGTGGAGACCCTAGGGCCAATCGATTGGATGATCGGGATAGACTACGTGAGGATCACAAGGCCCACATACTGAAAAGTGTGCACGCTGATGTGGCAATCTTTGACGGCTCCTGTGAGCCCAAGGACTTCATAGATTGGGAGTCTAGTATGAACTCATATTTCCGGTGGTACCGCATGGATGATGATTTATGCGTGGAGTATGCGGAGATGAGACTTGGCGGGAAGGCCAAGATCTTTGGGGAGAATGAGAGCTATGCGGCATACCGACGAGGGCAGCTCATCACATGATGGGTTGATATGGCATCACGCTTGAGGAACAAATATGTTCCTCGACAATACAAGTCGATGATGTTCCTTAGTTGGTTAGACCTCCGACAGGGCAAGATGTTCCTTAGTTGGATAGACTACGTGAGGATCACAAGGCCCACATACTGAAAAGTGTGCGCGTCGATGTGGCAATCTTTGACGGCTCCCGTGAGCCCAAGGACTTCATAGATTGGGAGTCTAGTATGAACTCATATTTCCGGTGGTACCGCATGGATGATGATTTATGCGTGGAGTATGCGGAGATGAGACTTGGCGGGAAGGCCAAGATCTTTGGGGAGAATGAGAGTTATGCGGCATACCGACGAGGGCAGCTCATCACATGATGGGTTGATATGGCATCACGCTTGAGGAACAAATATGTTCCTCGACAATACAAGTCGATGATGTTCCTTAGTTGGTTAGACCTCCGACAGGGCAAGATGCCCGTCCGAGACTACATTCAAGCTTTTGAGGAGTGCCGCATGAGGTGTCGCTTTGTCGAAGACTCACGTGTGGTTTTGGGCATTTTCACCCACTAACTTAGTCCACGGCTTCGGAACGAGCTGTTGAAAAGCAACCCGTCTGAAGTAGACGAGGCCTACCGCATAGTTGAGCATATGGAGCGACCCGCCGAGGACACACAGTTCACCCCACCTCCGATCACCACGAAGATCGTGTCCACGCAATCTGCACAGACACTGATGACAGCATCGATGCGTACTAGCATAGGGAACAGACGGACTACACCGGCGACATCAGTAGGGTCTGCACCACCCCCGCGTCCGCCACCAGCTGACGCATCCGACTGTGCTACGGCCGCGTCCCAAGCCCATATCACTTGTTTCAAGTGTAAGGGTAAGGGGCACCGGATGAGCCAATGCCCATCTTCGAATCTCCTCATAGAGATCGAAGAATTGGGTAGTGGTTCACATGAGGATGACGACCCTGTAGGCGATGATGTCTACATTGTTGACGAGGGTTTGGCCGAGGAGTGTGATTGCACTCCTGAATTGATTGGCTACATCCAGATTCGGCCAGCCACCGTACCACCAGCCAAAGCTGCCTCTCCCGCTGCCTCATCGACGAGCACTTCATCGAGGGGACTGGTCAGCATCGCTGTCCAGCGTCCATCTTGAGACGCAGTTCCTACACCATAGCCAGACACCACGGCAGCTAGAGAGAACACCCCGGCACCAAGGATGACTATGCCCACATCTTCACCTACGACAGACGGTTCCTTTCGCACGTCGATCTTCTACACCTATGTGAAGATCAACAGACACGTGTGCAAGGTGATCGTGGACAGCAGCAGTTGCGTCAATGCCGTGTCAGACCAGGTCTTGCAGAGGGCAAGGCTGAGTACTATCAGCCATCCAGCACCTTACGACATATTGTGGATAGACGTCACTGCACTACCTGTTCGTCGATAGTGCCAAGTGCCACTTAGGGTGAGCACCTATGATGAGCACATCTTGTGTGATGTCCTTCTGATGAAAATCGGCGGCATCATACTTGGACGGCCTTGGTTGTTTGACTATGACGTCCAATTCATGGGAAGAGCAAACACTTGCTCTTTCATGTATCGAGATCGCCAACTTGTTTGGTATCCGCATACCAACAAGCCCACGTCGAAGCGTGACCCTAAGTCACGTATTGGGTTAATCGTGATGAAGGGACCTACCTTTCAACACGAGATCACGTCGGACATAGATGGATCCCCGATGTGCTTTGCTCTCGCTTTGGATATGCAAGATGACACGACCCTTACCCCCCCTTCTCCAAAAGTCAAGGGTATGTTATTGGAGTATGCCGACGTACTCCCCAGAGGAGCTTCCCAGAGAGCTGCCTCCATTGAGGCACATTCAGCATGCTATTGACTTGGTTCCCGGAGCATCACTCCCGAACCTGCCGCACTATCGCATGGAGCCGACCAAGTACGAGGAGCTTAGCCGACAAGTACAAGAGCTTTTGGACAAGGGACTCATCCAGTCGAGCCTTAGTCCTCGCGCCGTGCTTGCATTACTAGCGTCGAAGAAGGATGACACTTTGCGCATGTGCTGCGACAGTCCCGTGATCAATAGGATAACGGTTAAATACCATTTTCTAATCCCGCGATTACAGGACTTATTCGACATGATGACAAGAGCCACTATCTTTTCAAAGATAGATCTACGTAGTGGTTATCATCAGGTCAAGATACGCCCAGGGGACAAGTGGAAGACTGCCTTCAAGATCAACGCGCCCAGTACATTCTAGAGGCTAATGAATGAGGTTTTACGCCCATTCATTGGCAAGTTCATCATAGTATACTTCGACAACATCTTGGTCTACAGCGGTACCCGAGACTCCCACCTCCAGCACTTACGATAGGTGTTTGAGGCACTTCGACAAGAGAAGCTTTATGCCCATCCTAAGAAGTGTAGTTTCTTCACTTCTGAGGTTACGTTCCTCGGTTTTGTCATCTCTAAGCAAGGAGTTTCTGTGGACCCCGAAAAGGTCCGCACAATAGTCACCTGGCCACAGCCAGGCAGCATGCATGACATCTCAAGCTTCATTGGACTAGCGACGTTCTACCGTTGCTTCATTTGAGACTTTAGTTCCGTTACCGCTCCGCTTACTGATTACCTCAAGAAGGAGACCTTCCTTTAGACAAAGGTAGTTGAGCGGGCCTTCGATCGAGTGAAGGCTCTTATCACTCAGGCACCAATACTTCACCTACCCAACTTTGGCAAGGTATTTGAGGTCGCCTGTGATGCCTTGGGCGTTGGTATTGAGGGTGTCCTTAGCCAAGAAGGTCATCCCATAGAGTAATTCAGCGAGAAGCTGAATGACGTGAGGCCTAGATACTCCATTTACGACTGTGAGTTTTATGTCGTCATTCAAGCTCTCAAACACTGGCACCATTACCTCCTTTATAAGGAGTTTGTGCTCTTCTCGGACCATGAGGCCTTGAAGTATCTACACTCTTAGCGGAAGCTGAGTGATCGACACGCACGATGGGTCGAGTACTTGCAAGACTTCACCTTTGTCCTTCGCCACAAGAAGGGCAAAGAGAACGTGATGGTAGACACCCTCAGCCAACGAATCCACTTGCTGAACCTCGTGAAGGTTTAGGTGACAGGATTTGAGTCCCTATCGGATTCTTATGCAGATTGCCCAAACTTCGGCCACGTTCTACAAGCACTTTCGGATGGTCCATCTTTAGATCATAAGGACTTCCTTGTGGTCAATGGATGTCTGTTCTTTAGGAGCAGACTGTGCATTCTATGCACATCTCTCCGTGACTTCCTCACTTGGGAATGTCACGCGAGAGGTCTATTCGGCCATTTTGGTCGCGATAAGACCATCGCAGCGGTTGAGTACCAGTTCTACTGGCCAACCCTCAAGCGCAATGTAGGGAATGTCGTCACTCAGTGTCGAGTGTGCGCACTCGCCAAGCAGGTAAAGAAGAATGCTAGACTCTACACACCACTTTCAGTGCCGACCTGCCCATGGGACGACGTCAGCATAGACTTTGTTTTGGGACTCCCGCGCACTGCACGACGACATGACTCGATCATGGTGGTCGTCGATAGGTTTTCAAAGATGGCACACTTTGTGTCATGTTCAAAAACCTCTGATGCCTCCAAGGTCTCTAGTACTTTAGAGAGATTGCACGCCTTCATGGACTACCCAAATCCATAGTCTTAGACCGTGATGTACGGTTTACCAACCACTTCTGGAGGACTCTTTGGAGCTTACTTGGGACTAAGCTCAAGTTCTCCACTGCTTACCATCCACAGACTGATGGCCAGACTGAGGTCGTCAATCGTAGCTTAGGGAATCTGTTTCGATCATTAGTCGGCGAGAGCTTGACCACTTGGGATTTGATCATACCATGCGCCGAGTTTGCCTATAACTCCTAGACCAACCGTACCACTGGCATGAGCCCCTTCGAGATCACACATGGCTTAGCACCCCACAAGCCCCTAGATCTAGTACCCTTGGACCCTCATGTTAGAGTTTCCGAGGATGGTGTCGCATTCGCCTAGCATGTTAGTCAGTTGCATCAGGACATTCATGATAGGATACAGAGTCAAAATGCATTGTACAAGCAGGCTGCCGATATGCATCATTGACTCCGGATCTTCCAGGTGAGAGACCAGGTTATGGTGAGGATAAAGCCTGAGCATTACGCTCCTAGCTCTGCTACGAAGCTTCACGCTCGTAGCGCCGGCCTGTTTCGTGTTCTTTCCCAGATAGGCAAGAATGCCTGTGTTGTCGGCATCCCTCCTTCGTGGGGGATTAACTCCACGTTCAACGTGGAGGATCTGGCGTCGCACCAAGCCCCACCTCTTTCATCTGACATCGAGCCCTCATCTACCGGCCCCTTCTCTGAGAGAGAGTTTGCCATGGAGTCCACTCTCCCCATTTTATCACCTAATTGGCACGAGCAAGTCGAGGAGATTCTTCGGGAGGTAATTGACTTTACAGGGAATGAAGTTTCACGGAGCTTCCTAGTACGTTGGCAAGGTCGCCCGTCGGAGGACGATGCTTGGATTTCGGAGGCGGACCTGGAGCGACTACGACCAGACCTGCTGGAGCCCTTGCCTTCCCCACTTGCCAACTCGTCGGAGTCGAGTTCTTTCGACCCCGGGAGGATTGATGGCTAGCGGGACCCGTCTCCCTTAGCTCATGAGACACTGGCAGTTTGAGTTCAGCCCAATCGACATGCGAAGACGAAGGAGCCTGACTTTGTGAACTTCCCGTCGAAGGCTGAATTCATCGCCAGGAAAATTCCTCACCGGTGTGTAGCAGCTTCTCAAGTAGTATAACGTGGAAAACGGGTACTGGATTAGAGGATACAAGTAAATAAATCTGTTGTGGTGCACAAGTCCACATGAACACTACTTTGCCTTCTCCCTATCAGAAAGAACAAAGCCAAGTCACCCAAACCAAAGCTGCATCTTCCATGATGATATAATGTACACAAAAAGGGAGAAGAATGGACTGCTCAATGCCCGTTTTAGAAAACGAGCCGTTCTCAGGAATGTGACACGTTGCTTCTAATTACAGGAATGAGGGAAAAATAGCCAAGTGCTTTCCATAAGAAGAACGAAGAAGGAGAAGAAGATAGAGATGAAAATGCCAAGAACATGTATTCACTCAAAGAGGACTGATGACAATTCTTCATGGAGGACGGTTCTAGTACGCCGTCACATTTTACTGGTTGCTGCAAATCAAAAGATAGAGAAACGTCGAGGGCTTCCGATGTGAAAGAGGAAGGGGAGGGAGGTGAGACAATTGCATGTGTTGAAACAAGTGAGGAGAGGATCTGCTGAGCTTTCAGGCGGGGTGTGCCCACAGTACCGACGACCCCTTACCAAGAGCCCTGCATCAATCTGCCGAACGGTCCACTGTGGGGGTACAAGAGAGGCTCGATGGAAGGCATACAGGGCCTTTACCGATCCTGCCGGACAGAACCCACCCACCTATTCACTTCGGCCCGTTTTTCATCCTACGGGGTTGGGTCCTTTCTCGCCGTGCATGGCAATTCCGTTACAGTAATTTCATAAAAACCCTCTACATGAGTTTTCTTGTGCTTGTAACCTATTCAAGAACCTCGCCATCCTGGCGCCGCCGGCCGGTTTGCGGGCGAAGAAGGCCTTACAGGTTACAGAGGATGTGGGAGACGATACGTAGCCCCGGTGTAGAGAGAGAGAGAGAGAGGCGGAGGTAGAATTAAAATGAGCTTCCCCACTGGTGTCCGGTATCCTGCTCGCCAGGAAGCTCCTTCTACCTTCGAATCAGCCACTTTTTCCACGTCCCCCTCCTCCTCATCTTTCCATCCTGCGGAGCCAAGATCGACGCACACATCAGCCGAACTAGACACAAAACCCACAGGTTCGACCAGGTTTTCAGATCCAGGGTCGGAGGACTCACCATCACCTCCACCTCCACGGTGGGAGAAGGCTGCAGCGACCGCAGTATCAGCACCACGTCGTTCGTCAGCCGTTTCACCTGCGAGGAAATGCCTTGGTTCAACCCCGCACGGAGATCCAGGGGGAGAGAAATCGGCGGCAGCAGTCGGAATGACAGTCGCTTACCCTCGGAAAGCCGGCGATGGTATGCACGCTCACCCAGCCTTCCTCGTCCATCTGCATCTTCAGGTGGACGTTTCTCGCCAGATTGTCCTCGCTGCGCAGATTCCAGTCCGTCGTTAGTCGATCCACGCGCAATATCGGCCATCATCGAAATCGGTACAGAGACGGAGAGAGGAGTACCTGAAGTAGTATTCGATCTGCGTCCGCAGAAGGAGGGTGACGATCTCGGTCCCCAGACGGGGAGTACTCGGAGGAGGAGAAGGAGCGGGAGGCATGAGCTGGGGGGGGCCATAGCTCCGTCCCCGCTGGTAAACGGTGGAGAGATACGGGGGAGGGAGAGCGTAACCAGAGAAGCCGCCGTAGTGGGGAGGAGTCGGCGGGGGACCCCACTGTCTGTGGGCGTGGTGGCGGCGGTGGAAGCCCTGTTGCCCATGCAAGCCCGCCATAGCTATCTCCCTCGGGAAAGACGATGCCGGGAGAAAGAGGGTAGAAAGGTGGAGGGAGAACAGGGGGAAGAGATATAGGGAGAAGAGGAGAGTTTGAACCTTGGCGCGCTGGGATCTGGCGGGAACTCAACTGTAGAGCAGGGCAGTTGCGGGCGTTGCGGAGTATCCAAATACTGGGGAGCGGCAAGCTTGTGGAGCGGACTTTCCGGAAGATCTTCGTCGCATCCACCGGATACGTGGAATTCAGGGATGCGCTCTCGCGCCGATCACACCCGAAACCAGCTAACAGGTTGTTTATACCAGAGGGAGCGGGGAAGAGAGAGAGAGAGAGTTGTACAGAGGGATTTCGAACGTTAGTGTAAGGTAATGGGCTTCGGTGCATGACATGCACGTGATGAGTTGTGTGTGTGTGGGTTTTGAAATTTGGGTATTTCAATTTGTATCTCATTTATTATTCATTACTAAATGAATATTGACTACATAATTTCTTATACCTTATATGCAAACAATATTTCATATTATTTCTTACTTAAATGCTTTCCGTGTTAGGTGTTACGTGTTAAAGTTGAATTTCTCAAAAATTCGAAAGCAACAAAATTGGAAATAATTAAAACATCTCCACTCAGGGTAGGGAAGATGTCTTCAATGTTAGTTGATACACTGAATACAGATTTGATTATCAGAAGTAATAATTTTATTATTTCATTAAAACATTGCACTAAAATATGTTCCATACATTATACTACCACGTGACATTAAATTTTATACACTGTCATAGAAGGCTTTATATTGGGCGTGTTGGGAAAACCTGATAGTTTTGTGGAAAAAAATGAGATGTCCGAATCTCATTTGCACAGCACTCGACTCTACAGTCTTGATCGATGTCCAAGTGGTCCGTGTTCTGCTGACTTGTTTGGTACACACGTGGGGTAAGTGAGGGAGATGTACGAGCGAGTTCCCAACCTGTTTGGGCTGTGTGTGTGGAGGTGAGGGTTTTGGGGAAGTCAAAGGGGTGGATCACCGTACACTAAAAACGGGTTCTCCTCCCTCGTCATACAGAACTAAACCGCTTATGCAAAATTCCGCACAGACATGAGCAGAGAATCGCACCGCGTCTGGGGGCTGGGCTACGTGTCGAAGGGGATGACCCACGTGCGGGCACTGTAGAGTGTAAAGAAGCTCCCCCTACCCCGCTGACAAAAGTAACCGGTGCCGTGTGAGGAGGTGCCCTACACAAGATTTCAGACGGTCAGCGTCGCCTGCCACATCTCGACCATGAGTTCACAACGTTGGCGTCGCGGAAGAACTCGTAAATGCCTTCACCGACGTCGTAGATCTTGCCGAAGTCAAAGAGGAAGGTGAAGCAAGCTCTTCTTCAGGCGGTCGAGCTGGTGAATCCATGCCTCGCGGAGCCTCTCGAGCACGTTGCCAGAGGTGAGGTCCTCCAGGAGGCTCTCCTCACAGCACTCCTTCAGGTCGGCGAGGTCGTGCTTCTTGGCGGCCGCGAGGAGCACCACCGGGTGCTTCAAGAAGACCTCTTGCCGGACGATGCCGTAGAGGTAGTTCAAGAGGGCCCCGCAGGCTTCCAAGGACACGTCCTTGATCACAATGACGGAGGACTTCTCCTCTCTTTATTAGTATTATTACATGTGTTCTTGGTTATACTATTATCTTTTTTCCTTTTCATTGTGCTTTTCAAGATCTACACACAAGGCGGAGGATTAGTTTGATCCGTGAGAAAGGGCGAAGTGTCTATGAGTTCATTTCCACTTAACTTTTTTCTGGTATTCAGGCCCTTTGTGTTACCTTTGCCATCACTTCTTTCCTCTTATGACATCAGCAGTTAGGCCATTCTTATTTTGAGAAACTTTACAATGTTACCATGATTTTCTCATAAGAAGTTTGTTTGCAAGTCATGTTAATTGAGTAAACACCATTATTCTTTCTACCTCAGTTGAGATGATATTTTCTCTTTTGCCCCTATTGATCTCATCCATTGTGATGTATGAGATCTTTTTCGTACTACTTCCTTCTCGGGACACCGATATTACACCATTCTTATTGATGATTACACCCGTGTGAGTTGGGTGTACCTCATATGCGACTGCTCCGAAGTCGTTACTATTGCTACACACTTTATCACGAAGGTCATCACTCAATATTCTACTACGCCTAAATAAATTCGTACCAACAATGTCCTTGAGTTTGTTCAAACCTCTCTCCAAACCTTCTGTGCCAATCGTGGCATTATCTATTAGACCATCTACCCTTATATCTCGTAATAGAACGATGTCGTTGAGTGCAAACATCGACAGCTCATTGACATCATTCACACCTTACTTCTTGAGATGAATGTCCCACACTATCTATACACCAATGTCCTCATGATAGTCACTTATCTTCAAAATCAGCTTTCCTCTACTCTTATAGGTGAGGTCATTCCTTTACAATGCCTCCTACTTACCTCACCCCTATTTTTCCTTCTTCCTCAGGTCTTTAGATCCGAGAATCACTCTTCTTCCTTATTTAAACTTGCCCCTCGTGCTCTCGAAAGAGTCTTTGTTGGCTATTCTTAAATATAGAAGGGCTATCAAGTTTACTTTTCTGACACCATCTCTATGTCGAAGCCTATTCTAATGATGGATATGAAGGTGACAAGGGTGACCGAAAGTTTACTACATATTACTGCACATATGTCAGAGGTAATCTCATCACCAAGCCGTCCTAGAAACAAAGGATGGTGTCTTGCTCTAGCACAGAATCCGAGTAACGAGTCATGACTAAGATCGTGTCGAAGATGGTATGACTTAGATCACTTCTCAAAGATCTTGACATTTCTTCTCTTTCTCAAATACTCATGTATTGTGACAATCAAACCAATATCTTCATTGCTGGTAATCACATCTTTTATGGGCATACGAAATATATTGAGATTGAATGTCATTACATTCAAGACAAAGTTATGTTTGGTCTTATCTCTACTCATATGACCTCATCTCATTAATTCATAAATGTCTTCATGAAAAGTTTGGTCGGGATCTCCTATGATACCACATGTACCAAGTTGGGCATGTTCGACTTCTATGCTTCAGCTTAAAGAGAAGTGTTTGATAGTGTCATCGG